GACCAACAGCGCTGCCAAATAATAAAAGCCTTTGAAAAGTACCCGTCTTAAGTCAGAGGCAGAGCACTAAGGTAGGCTTCCTTACACCACAGCAGGCTCCCAGGGAAGGTGTCTGGGGTGTCAAGGGTCAAAGCCCTAAGCCCAGGAGGCGGCAACTCTACACCTCTCTGCTCCATGGCCAGCACCACCTAGTTTCTGGGTATAACGCCTTGAAGCAAGGAACCAGGGTTTGTGAGAGCCCTGGGCTCCCATCGCAGTGATGGTGGATGGGGAGAAGGCAGGGGAGGATGGAGGCCAGAAGAAAAACAGCTGTTGGGTCAGTCCCAGGGGCTGGGTCCCTGGAACCATCAGGCAAGGGGAGAGAAGAAATCAGGCCATGGGTTTGTAGGAACTACAGAGTGCGCCCTTCCCCAGGACCCCTGCGGCTTTGGGATAGAGAAGAGCTGGAAGAGGGGAGAGGCAAATGAGGCAGCACTGGTCACGTGCCTGGCATTGGGCCAGACCCAATCCCACCTCATCCTCACAGCCACTGGTGGTTGCCAACTGGGGGTGCTTGTGTCCCCCAGTGCAAACTTGGCAATGTCTGGAGACACTTGGGTTTGGTTGTCACAACTGGATGGTCTGGGGGAGGTTTGCGCTGTTGCTATCTAATGAGTAGGGGCCAGGGATGCTGCCAAATATCCTACTGTGTACAGGACACCCCTCAGACCAAATGTCAATAGTGCCAAAGGCAAGCTACCCTTCTGTAAGGTGAGGATGTCACTGGCCCCATTCTGCAGATGAGAAAACTGAGGTTTAAAGAGGCAAAGTGACCTGATGCAAACGGTTTGACTCCCATTTCATCCCTTGAGAGCCAGGTAGCAGTGGAGACATGGTAGCTGGAGGCATTTGGCACAGTTGGCCGTGGGTGGGAGAAAGTGGAGGGCGGAGGAGACGGGGAGGGAGGTGACAGTACCTGTCAGTGACAGGGCTGGTGGCAGAGGTCCAGGCTGTGGTCCCGCTGGGGGTGCTCCCGGTGGTAGGCAGGGTTGAAGCTGTAAGAGATGACAATGAGGGGAGCACTCCCATGTGTTTGCCCCACACTCCAGCCTCCCCACTTCTAACCCTTGGCCCTGGGAAGGAGGAGCCCACATACGGCCCTGGGCCAAGTGGGGACTCTGATAAGCACCATATGCCCTGCAAACGAATGGAGGTGTTACTCTGTGTGGTGTGGGATTTCCCTCACAATCAAGTGCTCCAGTGCAAGTGTCTTTAGGTTAGGATCCCATGGTCACTGGTATACTGGATCTATTGCACAGTCTTTTCTGCTTTCATTGTTCTTGACCATGCCATGCACTCTCAACCTATAATGCGTCCCTCACACCTCCCCCCACTTTTGTCTCTTCTGGATCAATTCCTGCTCACTCATAAGGCCCAAGTGGTATCACCTCCTCTGGGGAGTCCTCCAGGAGAATCCATACCACTGCTTTCTCCAGGAGCCTTGTCCCTCCCTTCACTGGGCCGCCATCCAACAAGCTTCCATTAGGCCACTTACCACCCACCATCCTAACTGTTCACTTATGTGTCTGCCTTGGGTACAGGGGTCGGAGGGGGCACTGTGGAGGATCCAGCACAGGATAGTCTTAGGGTGTTTGATTCCCCTTCCGGAGTGCAGCCCCCGCCCTCCATGGGGTGGACAGTGAGCCATGGCTTGGGTGGTGACTGACCAAGCAGCTGACCAAGGTCCTCTGGGCGCCCAGCTCACCGAATGGCTGAGCAGGCTTGGCAACTGGGCTGGGGTCTGGGAAGACGCCATTTAAGCCCTGGCCATCATAGGGAACCACAGGGGCCTTTGCAAGTCTGAGGTTTTTCAGGAAAAACACCCAGGGCCTCAGTCAGGAGTACTGCCTGGCTTCCCACCTGAGGCTTAAGGTCTCTCGACTCTAAGGAGCAGGTCCAAGGTGAAGACCCAGGCTCTCTGAGCCCTTGGCCGCTCCCTGTCTCGCCCCCCCAAAGTCCCGTGTCTGCCTCACTAGCTGGCTGTCTCCTGTCTGTCCACATTTCTTAACCCACCCAGTCACCTGCAACTCAAGCACAACCCTTCTAGAGAAGGTTAAGGGTTAGGGGTTAGGGCCAGGAGTCGGGATGCCCAGGAATGGCCCAATCAGCCAGTCTTGCTCAAACCTGAGGAGGCCTTAGAGTCATTACAAATCAATGGATGAGTCTTGTTAGTAACAACAGAAATGTTCAGAGAAACACATGTGGTGGGAAAGGAAGAACCAAGTGAGCCAAGAGGTCTGAGTTCTGGTGCGTGATCTGCCCTTAACCAGCAGTGACCTTGGGCAAGGGGCACTGGTTTTTGGCTGTAAGAGCACTGAAGACAATTATTTCAGAGTCCTTCCTCGCTCTAACATCTTGTGATTTAGGACGACTGAGATACCACCAGACGGATGTTTCTATGAACAAAGATCCTGGGGCATTTGTAGATTCCACATGAATAAGATCCAGAGTCTTCTACCCTGAGTTCGGTCATGGTGATGATAAAGTAGCCCCATCTGATGTTATCCTGAATGGAGTCTCGAGGCTTCCAGGGCACCACAGGTCCGTGCTGATACCTGCCTGCGCCAGACTTTCACCGGTTTTGAGGCTTGCTGGGACTGGTACAGGCATTTCACGGAGACTGACTTCCCTTCCAGCTGAGGCAGCGACTCTGGCTTCTGGTCCCACGAGCCTGAAAATACGCTCTCACGGCAGATACTGCGGGGCTGGCAGGTGGGTGCCTCACTCCTCAGAATGTGCCCCAGACCCAGGGGCCTCTGGCCACAGCCCAGCCTGTCCCGGCCCTCCCTCTGCATTGCCCCCTTCACGCCCGCCTCACCTGGCCATCTCCCCCTCCTCTTGCCCCGTTCCCTCCCTCTGCCCTCCTCATCACCTGAGGCCAGGAGCACCAGCAGGACAGGGGGCAGCAGGCGTGTGGCTTCCCGGGGCATGGGCCCTCTTCTTGAGCTGGGGTGGGAGCAGGGAAGCCCTGAGGAGAGGGAGGCAGTGCTGGGGCGCAGGGGTGGGGATTCGGCCCAGCCCCTCTCCCTTGTCCGGGAAGAAGAGCTAAGGAAGGCAGAGTCCTCCAGGGGGGCAGCGGGAGGCCTGGGAGGAGGGGAGGTCTTGGCCTGTAGGCGGGACCCTCCTGCTGCAGGTGCTACATGTGGGCTGGCTCCGGTCTCAGGGCTGAGGCTCCAGGGGGACTCTGAAGCTTCTGCCGGCTCTCTCATGCCCAGCCTCTTCCTCCTTGTTGCACTAGGGTTGGGGTGTAGAAGGCTGTGAAAGTCCAGGAAGAAACTGGTGAAACCAGAACCTATTTCTCCTTTCTCCATCTCTCCTCTATCCTACCACTTCCTCCCGGCCCCAACTACTGCCTCCCCACCCAAGTAAAAAGTCCCGGCTGAAGGTGAGTGACAGAGTTAGGGGACCTCTTTGGAGGTGCCCAGTGGTCTGAGACTTCCTGCCCAGGCCTGTCTGGGAGCCCGGGAGCTCTGTAGGGATTGGAGGGGCATAGGAGAAAGGAGAGGGAGAGTCATATCCAGGAACGGAGGTGCAGGAAATGCCCCTGGCAAGGGTGGGAGAGAGTGAAGCTGGGGACATAACCGGCAGGGGCCGGAGGTGGGGGGGGGGTAGAAGATAGATGCAGAAGGACGGGACCTGGGGGGGTTCTCCTCCTCCAGGCCACCCCATGTCCCCAGCTCTCAGCCTGCCATAATCACCCCATCAGCATTTGTCAAAAGGCCACCATAATCAAGCACATTTTAAGGAATAATTGTCATTAGAAAAGCTACAGAAAAGCTATCACCACAGGCTCTTTACAACCAAGAAAGGAGAAAACCCCGTGAAAATGCAGCATGGCAGGTCGGGTTTGCGGGGCACTGACTGTGTGGTGGAGATTAGCACAGGAGGCCGGAAGTGCCCGGGGACAAAGCCAGGATGAGAAGGACAGGCAGCAGGCCAGGGTGTGCAGCGTTCTGAGGACAGGATGCTCTCCCGGATGGCAAGGGGGTGCTGGGGCTTCAGACCCTGCAGCGGCCGGTCGGGGGTGGGGGCATGGCCGGCTGCCCTGGGAGGGGCCTGGCTCTCTGCAGCTGGGGCAGCCCCCAAAGGGGGCCGGCAGAGGAGGCCTTCCTCTCTCACTGCTCCCAGCAGTGGGGCAAGTCCATCAGCCTGAAGGAGGAGCATCCACCGACTCAGTATGATGCAGCCATGTGGGAGAACTGTGACCCTAAGGCTTGCTTGCTGGCCTCCCCGCGGGGGCTTGTGTGTCCCACAGTGACAGATCTGCCTGCCACGCTCTGCAGAGCAAACCCCCCTCGGTGCTGGGTTTTCTTTCCGTGTCCTTGCCCTTCCCAGGTGTGTCCCGTCGTCACAGCCCACTGCTCAGGAGGCTTTTTGCCTTACCCACTAAAGGCAGCTGCTGCCCCGGCCTGTCTTGATAGCCCCACCTGCCCTGCACCTGCCTGCCCTCCGACTGCCGCAGCTCAGGGTCCACCTGCAGCTCCAGGGAGAGGAGGAAGAACAGGAAGGAGAAAATGAGAGGCTGGGGCTTTGAGGAAAATGTCCCAGAGCACTGAAGGTCCAAAGAGGCCACCCAGGCCCATCGGAGGTGGAGAGCTGGGGCAGGGGGTCTGGACCCCTTTCTCAGAGCCCTGTGTCCTTACTGTGGAGTTCATGTGGGAGCAGACTCCGTGGGTGGACACCTCGTGCAGGCTCACCCCATTCCAGGAGCCCCTCATCCTGGGCAAAGAGGGATGGTAGGTCTCCTAACAGCTTCCCTGCCTAGCATCAGGGCACAGCCAAAGGCCTCCACCTGGGTCCAGCCCCCACCACCTGGGGCCTGACCGTGTGCCCCTCTACCCTCCCTGGCCCCTTCCAACTGAGGGCAAAACAGAGAAATAGGGTCCAAAGGTCTTCAATGCAGACAAAGCCCACTAGAGCTATAGAGGAGAGCTTGAGGACCAGCAATCACGAGGCATTAACTCAATTGTGTGAGGTTCAGGTCGCTCCATTTTATCCTGAAAGCAGTCTTGAGAGGTAGGAGTTAGTGTCCCCTTTCACAAGAGAGGAAAATGAGACCCGATAGGGTTAGTGACTCGCACACAGTTACACAGTGACAGGTGGCCTCACTGAATCCCAGTCCTGAGTCCTCTGCGGCTCTCCCACAGGACATCCTGTTCTCAGACGAGGCAGGGCTGTCAGCGTGCTGTTGTAGGATCTCGAGTGGAGTGGGGCTCTTTGGGAGCTATTTTCCCCCAGGGAAGTTAAGCACCGCCCCCCGCCCCCACCCCAGTTAGACACCAAGGTTGTGGCCACACCCTCCTGCTAAGGAGGATGGATTTCATTGCGTGTGTGTGTGTGTGTGTGTGTGTGTGTGTGTGTGTGTGTGTCCTGGCACCAAGCTTGTCCATTCCTCAATCTGAGTCTCTCCTCTAGTGCCCTCTCCTGGACGTAGGACAGAGGTGCCTCCTCCCTGCTGTCCCCCAGAATTACCTCCTGCCCCTTCCTCTCTCCCCGCATCCATTCTGGAGTGGCCCCCCAGCTACCCATCAAGGCCCGGGCTGTGTCATTCTCCTGACTGTGACATTTGCTCTCGCACCGGGGAGGTCCCTGCCCCGGGCCGCAGAGTGGAGATGTCACATCCATCCTTAGGTGCTTATTTCAGTTGCTCCAGGCTGGTGGAGGCCCTACTCCAGGGGACAAATCCAGCCCATATTCTCCAGTCTTCACTGTGGAAGAGGCCAAGTCTGAGCCAAGAGCCAGTGAAGCAGAGGCCAGACTCCTAGGGCCATTGGACCCCTGGTGAGGCTCCTTGGCTCCATCCTCCCCATCTCTTCCCCACCCAGGCGTTCCTCCAGGCTGTGCCCTGCTCCAAGCTGTGCTTGCTGGGTCACAAGTAGCTCCTCTCTTCCCAGGGGACGATGAGTCCCGGGGGAAGGTGGGTGATCTACTCTTTCTCGGAGCCGTGGCCTCCCCTGCCACGGATTCTCGAGGGCCCTCAGTCTCCTGTGGGAGCTCAGACCTGGAGCTTGGAACTGGGGGAGAGAGCCCCGAGTGCAGCCTCTGCATGCCAGTGTCTGGGCGACCTGGTCACAGCTTTCCAGGGAGGGCCGGCCAATGGGTAGCACCAGTGGGAGGGTGGGCTCTGCTGGCTCCCAGGACTTGAGGGACAAGCAGCTGCTGTCAGGACAGGGCACATCCAGACGCCCATCAGAGGACGCAGGGCCCTGAGGGTGGGACACTTGGACCATTCTGGAGTCCCCTGTTGCCAACACCCCTGTGGACCTCCAGCTCTTAGTCGCTGTTCCTTCCCCTCCAAGACGGGGCCCTTGACACACTGGTTGCCTCTGGGACTCTTTCTTCCCCAAGCCCAGGGGAAGCTTGAGGGGAGCAGAGGGAACCTGAGGACACAGGATTCCAGATGGGGAGAGGACCTCTGTCCCCCTGTCTTCTCCCTCCCCTCTGCTCCATAGCAAGGGGTTCCGAGGCCCACGGGGCCTGGAGCTCTCTGTGTACAGCACCATCAGGACTTCCCCACCACCCAGCTGGGACCCAGGGCTCTGTGGCTCTGAGCAGAATCCCCTCGGTGGCTTCCCCTGGGGTTTCCTGCCTGGTACTCCCCATTCTGGGGGCTGTCCCAGGTTCCTGGCAGCTCAAGGTGACTGAGCAGGTGAAGAGCAGCCTCTGGTTCTGGGGAGGCCTGAGTCCAGCCTTGAGCAAGTCCTCAGCCTGGCTCCAGTTCAGACAGGTCCCCATCTTCACCCTCCTCTGGCCTCCAAAGGCCCCTCCAGGAGGAGCTCACGCACTCCACAGTTAAGTGGCCTCAGACCAAGCAGGCTTCCACGGAGGCTCCAGTCTTCCGAGTGGGTCCCTCCAGGGTCTAGCAGGATCATTGCACACCCTGTAGCCTGTGAGGACAAGGAGAGAGATGAAGAGGGGCAGGGCTCCTGCTCTCTCCTCCTCCCATGATCCTGGGCCAGTCCATCCCCTCTTCTGGCCCTGCCCTCTGCTTCCTGCCAAGTCAGCCCCAGAGGGTCATGGTGTGCTGTTCCTGCCTGCCCACCCTCCTCCCTCACCTGGGTGCCAAGTAGTCTTTGTGGCTGGACCCAGGGAAGGACATACCGCCTGGGGACAGAGTGCAGTCAGGCGCTTTGGCAAGTGTATCAAACCCCAGTGCTCTGCCCTCAGGAGGCTGGGAGGGTGGGCTGTACTCACTTCCCATGTGTCTCTTCTTCCAGAACCCATAGACCAGGATCAGCATCACAGACACTGGGAGGAAGATCAGCATCCCCAGGAGCACAATGGGATATGAATCCTGGTGCCTGAGGGGACGGGACAGAGCAGGGAGGAGGTGAGCACCCAGTTGCCCCCACCCTGACCCATGTCTTTCTGCATGCCCCATGAGAGGAGCCCGGACCTGGAGAAATCTTCACAGCCCTGGTGGGAGTGTTTGCCTCCCTTTCTTGGGGACCCAGCTGTAGCAGGAGGAAGTGAGGAGCTCAGAGGTCAGGGGAAGAAGTCCCAGATGGAGGGGGGCATCTTTCCACTTTAGAGCCTCCCCTCCATTGTTCCCCCAATCATGACTGCATCGCTGAGGATGAGAACTCTTAGAGACTCCCATTTGTGACAGATGAGACAGAGAGTCTTGCTCTCCTCATAGAGAGAGGCTCTCCTTGTGGCCCTTCCCTCCTTTGTCCTCTGAAGCAGATGCGGTAGGTGCACGGCCTGTATCCCCTTGCACCAGCCCTCAGCACCTCCATCTAAATTTTTTTCAGCCTGAGGACTTTCTCCTGTTCCTAGAGCCCTCATTGCTACCCATGGCAGGCAGCCCCCCACTGATGACCAACACGAGTAGTGTTGGTGCAAGAGTAGCTGTATCAATACCCCAGCTCCCTCGCCCTTCAGCTGGGAGTCTGATCCTGGGCCCCAGAGCCTCCCCTAGGCTTGAGCTCCACTGCCCACAACGGAGGCCAGCTTGATTAGGTTCTCTACCAACTGTTCCTTGTCTCCCTTCCCCACGCTCTTTCCAGTACTCCTGGTCCCAGAGGCTGCTTCTGGGGGAGCCCAAATTAAAGCACCCACCATTTCCCACTTCCTACCCCAGAGCCACATCCTTGTCCTGCCCCAACCTTCTCCTCTCCATCCACAGACTCTTACACTGACCCGTCCCCAACCCTCACTTCTTACTGCCATCCTTTATGTCACATCTCCGTCCTGGCATCTGGCCTCCTACCCACCTCCCATTCAGCAGCAGGCCAGACTGACTTCCTGCAAAGGAAAGCTCTGCTATAACATCTGCACCTTGAGGTCTGTTCAGGCACCAATTATTGTTGCCTTATCTGGTCAAAAGTCACCCAAGCCCAGGACCCACGGGTACCTGATAGGGGATAATTTGTTGAGGAGATCCCCGCTAGTATGACACCTTCCCGTGGTGGGCGATCGGGTGTGCAGGTGCCCAGCCCTGGTGGACATGGATGCTGGGCCAGCAGAGGAGGCTCTGGCATCACTGGGAGACACAGTCACTGTCTGGGATTCCACGGTCCTCCTGGGCCCCGTGGCGGAAGGGCCAGTGCCGGTGAAGCTGAAGCCCATCATGGAGGTCAGTCTGATGGACTCCGAGGCAGTGGGGGGCACGACTCTGGTCAAGGTGAGGAGGCCAGATGTGAGCACTGTCATGCTGGTGGTGAAAGGGGCATCAGGGCCTGAGGTGGGGGCTGGGCCCGATGTGACAACAATTCCACTCTTGAGGATATTGGCCAGCTGTCTAAGAGGAGTGCTTCTCTTGGTCGTGGAGGCTAAGGGGCCAGAGAGAGAGGAACATTAGACTGAGTAGGGGGCCTCACCGATGGGAGCAGATCCTCATCTCCCCTCCTTGACCTTGGACCCAGGATTCTGCTTTGCTGTGTGACCATATGTGGGTTTGCCAGGGAGAAGAAGTAGGCACAGTAAAGACGGAAGAGACTCTCACAGTTTCTTTAACCTACCCTGTCAGGCCAACTTCCCTCCCAGTCCCCATCTCTCTAGTCACTTCCAGACCCTTCTCATTCCTGTGCGCCAAAGAGATCTCTTCACTATGATGTGGAACAGGGACTTTTCCAGGTGCTCCATAATTGGTGACCAGGGTCCAGAAATGAGGACAAAGAAGCATCAAAGGCCCACATTCCAAAGAATGCCTCCAGCAGCAGGGTCAGATGCCCTCCTTAGGAGCTTACGAAGAGACACTTGCTCCTATCATCCAAACCCTCAGCCTTTTACCTCTCATTTCCTAGGAGGCTGGCATTTGGATGGTGGAAGAGGAAGGGGTTGTAGGAAGCGTGAGGTCCCATCTGGGGCAGTGTGGTGGAGTCTATCTCCGCAGAGAATGAGAGAATTGGAGAGAGATGGTGGGGGAGAGAGAGGGCTGGCACAGGCTGCCACATCCCACGACTGTGCATGGCAAGAACACACTCCTGAGGGCCAAATGGCCACCATGAAAGGTACCCATCTTTCTGGGCAAGGGAACCCAGAACAAGCAGCATTGGTGAGAGTAGGGATAGGGGAAGAGGCTGACCTGGAGCCAGACCTCCCTCATCACCCTACTCAGCAGTGGGGAGACCTCAAAGACCCTTCAGAGAACTCACATGTAGGTGACTTGGGAGAGCCAACATTTAGACACCCACCTTACAGAGGATCGCAAAGGGCTGGGTAGAAAAGAGTAACACCCAACAGAAAGAGAACTACGGCGGGCAGTGAAGTCACACAACCACTTCCCTTTCTTCATTCCTGCCTCAATGCACCAGGGGGTTGGAAGGAGAAAGCAGGTCGAGGTACTGAGAACAACCCCACCTTCCCCACCTGCCGAGATGAAGGAGAGGGAATTAGGCAGCAGGCTACCCTCTTCCCTACTCTGGGTGGCTTGGGCCGTAACGTGTGGTCTTCAAGAAGGAGTGGAAGAGCATATATTGCTAGAAGATTAGAGTTTTTACATGGGCTGAGGATTTTTTATTTCCTAATAACCGAAAAGGTCTGCAAAGTTGGAATCTCCCCAGATGGTCTTTAAAAGGTAAACCATGGGATTTGACAATGGAGGGGGTGGGGGATATGCAAAGAAAAAAACAAAACCATTTCATGTTTGTATCCCTGCAAATTAAGACTTCGATATACTAGGTTTCAACTATTCCCTGGGTCTAAAGCAGAACCGGAGAGGGGGAATGAGATTTGGCCCCACATCTTAGAGATAGCAGTTGCCCTAGCTCAGACACAACCGAAGAGGGGGGTGCAGGTGAGTCAGGGAAATGGGGAAGGGTGGATAACTCATGTCATCATCACGGGCTGCTTTTTTCAGATTCTCTTGCTGGTTCCTCACCCTTTCCTATCATATAAATGTGGGAGGACCTCAGGCTTGGCCCTTCTCTCTTTTTCTATACTCAAGGGAGAACTTTTACATCCCCTTGATTTTTTAACAGCTTTTTAAAGATATTATTCACATTCCATATACCACACCCATTTGTAGCACCAAATTCAATGACCTTTAGTATATTCACAGAGTCGTGCAGCCAGTCAATTTTAGAACATACGCATCATCTCCAAAAGAAATCCCCACCCTTTAGCTATTACCCTCTACCTCCCTTTCTTTTCCCCCAGCCCTAAGCAACAACTAATCCTCTTTCTGTCTGTATAGATTTCTCAAATCCCCTAGACTTTAAACTATCTTCACAGAGGGGCACCTATGTGGCTCAGTCAGTTAAGCATCTGACTTTGGCTCAGGTCCTGATCTCAGGGTTGTGAGATGGAGCCCCTTCTCCCTCTGGCTCCCTGTTCAGTGGGTAGTCTGCTTCTCCCTCTCACTCTGCCCCTGCCCTCCCCTACTCGTGCTTGCTGTCTCTCTCTCAAATAAATGGATAAAAAAAATCTTTAAAAAAAGAACCAATAAAAATAAACTATCTTCACAGAGATACTTCCAAGTATATTCCCAGCTCTGACTTCTCACCTGAGCTCCAGGCTGATATATTCACTGCTGATCCATTTGCCCACCTGGAGTTCTAGGAGGTGTCTTAAACTTAACATGACCAAAGACAGCTCTTGATTTTTCTCCTCCAAACTGGCTCCTCTCCAGAGTCACCCTACCCAATAAATGGTACTGTCATGCACCTTGCTGATGGAATAGAAAACCTTAGAGTCACTCTTGATTCCTCCCTTTCGTTCACCTCCTGTCTTACCTCCAAAGTGTACAGGGTGGGCAGGAAGTCTGAACATCACAGATTTGAAACCTTCCACTTCTCTCCACCTCCACGGCCCACGTCCTACTTTAAGACACTGTCATTCTCGACCAGAATACCCACAGTGGTCTCTCTGCTCATCTCTTACCCTTCCACAATCCATCCTCCACACAGCAGCTGTTATAATCTTAAAGACAAGCCACAACACACCCCTGTAAACTCTCCAGTACTTCCTATTGTACTTAGAATAAAACTCAAACTCCACATCATAGACTTTAGGGCTGCTGTTTGACTCTCCCAACCTCATCTCCTGCCACTGTGCCCCACACTCAATATGGGGCAGCCACACAGCCCTGCCTTATACAAGCCCAGCTCTTTCTCACCTCAGGGCCTTTCCACATGCAGTTCTCCCCACCTAGACTATGAAGCACCCACATTTCAAGAGGGCTAGAAAGCTCTCCTCATGCAAGGCTCTGCTTGATGTCATCTGCCAGGGAGGTCCTCTCTGGTCTCTGGTGCTTCAATAGCTCCCCCACCACTGAGTTACTTTCTAGTTTGTCACACTGTTTGATTTTCTTAAGAACATTTATTGTTATCTGCAATTATTCGTCTGATGATGTACGATCACCTGTCATCTCTCATAGGGCAGGACTGCGTCTAGTCCCTGGCACAGAGTTGGGACTCAATGAATATGTATTGAACAGATGATGGAATAAAAACAAAGTGCAGAGAGCCCTAAGTTTGAATCTTGTCTCTGCCACTTGCTAGCTCTGTGACCCTGGGCAAGGTCAGATCCACAGAAGGCTTTTTAGATCTCATTTTCTTCACTGGGGAAGTGGGGGACAATAATGCCCATGCAGATGTCAGTAAGGGAACCATGAGAACCCTGTGGCACAACACGCCCACTGATGGATTATTCTTCTCACTACCTCTGCTGCGAGTGGAGTACGGGGCAGGGAGGACACCCTCACCCTCCCAGTGCCCTGTAGGCCTGCTCACCTGGAGACACTTCTAGCAGGAAGCCCATCAGAGGGTACAGGGTCCCAGAGCTATTGCGCATGCACCAGTACCGGCCGGAGTCCTGGCGCCTGAGGGCCGCCATGGTGATCTTGACCTCCTTGGCCTTGGCATCATCCTGCAGCAAGTAGCGCGGCCCCTGCACCCAGCCCCGGGCGAATCCAGGCTCACATCTCTTCCTCCTGATTTTGCACCATACCTTGCCCTCCACGTGGTTTTTGCGGCTCTTGTAGGAGCACTGCACAGACAGAGTCTCCCCTTCAAAGTGCTGCACTTTAGTGTACACGTTCTCGGCAGGGACACCTGGGGAGACACCGCTGGTGAGCAAGGTCTGGTGACAGAGGCATCTCGAAGGTCGGGGTGAGGGGAGAGGAGGTGGATACTGTCCTGCTGTTATGGGACTCAACAGTTTCGGGGAGAAACACAGCCCTACTCTGAAAGAATTTACACACACACACACCCCCATCCAATAGAGGAGATGCTTGGGCCCTGCTAAAAACTAGCTCCCAGTCCGAGGGGGGAGACACAGGCCACTCCCTCAGGGAGCTTCCAGTCTGTTGGAGTAGACACTAGTCCTGCCCTCTGGGAGTTCCCAATCTGATGAGAAAGACAATAGTCCCATGCCCTTGGGGGAGTTCTAGGATGAAGATATAAGGCTAGCCCTCAGGGAACTCCCAGTTTGATGGTGGAGACACAGGCACAACCCTCAGGGAGCCCCCAGGCTAATGGAGGAAACTCAGCCCTTACACTCAGGGAGCTCCAACTGACACAGCCCCATTTTTCATGGTATTTTCTAGCCCAATGGGAAGATACTAGCCCCAACTTCAGGGTTTTGTGGGAAAGACCCGAGTCTTGTCCTCAGTGAGAGAGATACACAGACACAAACAGAAGTCACAAAGTTATAAAATTCCAGAGCACAAACAACTTAGATAGATAAGAAAATCCAATATTTGAAAAAATGAAGAGTAGTTATTTATTTCACAAATAAGTCCATCATAGTTATCTTTTAAATAGCAAGTTGTCGTAGTTCATTTTAGGTACTATTTCATTTTAAAGCATTCTAGTTGCATAAAACCCAGAGATTAAAAATGACCAAACATGCATCTAAGTTCCCAATGGAGTGCAAGCCGAAGAACTGTACAATTATTCACTGTTCGTCCACAGCCTGTTACAGTCTCCGCCTAGAAATAAGATGTGTCCGTGCATTTCACAATCCACAGCTGGCAGAGAGAGAGTAGAACTAGGGGTAGGGGTGGGGAATCAGGGGACAGGGAGAGGGACAAAGCTATGATGGGCTCCCTCCACTCCACTGCCCACCATATCTCAGCACTTACTCCTCTCACGCCCCCCAGAGCCTGCCGTCAACACACACACACACACACACACACACACACGCACACATACGTTTCTCCCCAGCAAGACAGAGTGCAGAGCACACATTTTGGAGTCTAAATAAATATGGGTTCAAACCCTGGTTCCACCATTGACTGTGTAAGTAGACCCCATAAGTCTCTGTTTCTTCATCTGTCTCAGGTTGGCTGTGGGAACTGGGCCTCAGGACAGTGCCTGGAAGGTAGCTGGGACTCCACGTGCTTCCTTTTCTCAAACGCAGGTTTCTCCAGACTTCTCCAGTTGAGCCCAGAGCTGCGGTAGCCAAGGACCCCGCACATGACAGGAGACATCTACCTGCTTCCAACTCAGCTGCACTACAGCTGAGGCTTGGGGTAAGGTAGCACCCTCTCTGAACATCCCTTTGTCCCAAACAAACTAAACAGAATGACCCAACTCAATGATTTGGTGGGTGGGAGGTTTGGGGGATCCCAGGATTGCTCCGCACAGGAGACATACTTCTGCCCTGGCAGAGGGAGAAGGATCTCTAGGAGAGGTGTGGGGTGGGGTGCCCTTGGGAAGGGTCTGTGTTCGTTTGTGCCCACCTTTCACCCCCTCACAGGTGGTGGCCAGAACTGAACAGGAAAGGGTAACTTGGTGGCCATGGCAGTAAGGGAAGCAGGATTAGGGGAGGCCCCCTCAAGGGGCATTTAGTAACTATGGGGTGAGCGAGGTCTTCAAGGATGGCTTCCCCCCAGGACAGGGGGTAGTGGCCCAAGCCACTTGCCAGTTAAAACATACACACACGTGATGCAATGATTCATGTACGCACCAAACAGGGCTTTCTCGACAAGGGAAGGAGACTTTTTGGGTGAGGAAATCAAGTGTCCATGGTCGGAGGTCCTGACCAAGCCTGGCAGATGAAGGGGCCCACCCAGAGAGGGTCCAAAGCTTTATCTTAGTTTGTGAGTCCTGTGTTAGCTTTGCCTGGGGCCAGATAGTGGGACGTGACCTTCTTACTGGTTAGGAGCCACTAGGTCAGCCCCATCTCCTCTGCCTTCTCCTCCAACCCCACAAGGCATGAAACCAGATTACTGGGCAAGGAAAAGCTGGGAGGTAGAGTCCCGCAAAAGGCCATCCTCTCCTCCCCGGCCAGCTCCTCTGCCCTCTCACCTGAGACAGGGCCCTGGAACCACAGCAGGGGCAGAAGCAGCAAGAAGGTGGGAGCCATGGCTCCATCCAGCTGGGGACAGTCGCAGGCCAGCCGGGGGCGGGACACCTCAAATCCAGGTTTAGGGGCCCAGGCCAATGCAGGATGTGCCACTTAGGTCTGCCAGGGAAGGACCTGGCGTTCTGAAAGTGCAGTTGCCCATTTAGGGAAGTGAGGAAGTTGTGGGACCCACTGTGATCAGCAGACCGCGGGGCCCGAAGAGCCTACGGAGGGCGGTGCTGGATGCTGTTTACGCCCTCTTCCCCGAAACTTCAGGCAGGTGTGGCTGCTCCACCCAGTCGGCCCCCCACACCCCGCCCCCCAGCCCAGGAAGGGTTCTTGGGGTCAGAAGACTTCCCATCCTCTCCAGTCCCCCCCTGGAAACTGGCCCGGTGGGGGTGCCTCCTAGCCTGAAGCAGGGGATTGGTGTAGGGGGCTGGGGTGAGTTTTTTGGACCCTCAGCTGCGGACTCCCTAAGATTCCCTGGGCTCAGAGACCCAGGGGTAGGGGCTTGGGGTTGGGACAGGGCACCTTGGATCCTAGGTTTTCACCAACACACATTCGCAAGGAGGTTCTTGTCAACTCCATTCATTCATCCCCTCAGCCCTCACTGATGCGTTCCTTATGGTGCCCCGTCTCTCTTGCCAAGTTCCTGGCTGGTCAGAGCAGCCCCTCTCGCTCACACTGGCAAAGAACCCCTTCCGTGCTCCCAGGCGATCTTATTTCTGTCACGGTTAGAGTGACAGGGACAAATGATGCAAATTGTTAAGGCTCAGAGCATAGTTTGGGCTCAGGGAGGGGCTTCTGTGCTGTCACACGTGAGGGCGCGCGCGCACGCG